TCCTTGTGTAGAGAGAGCCTCCATCCTCCTCATAGCCACCCTGTAAGTCCTGGAATAGTGTGGTGAGGTTCCACAGGAGCCTTCACTCCTCCAGGAAGAGATCTAGACCTTGAAATAAAGTGAGAGCCTTCAGGATGGGCTTGTTTAGCCTTTCACCATCCAGTTACTATGTAGCCACGAAGCTCTTGTGCCAGGTTGCCTCTGGTGGTGGCTCTTCTGTGAATACTGATGGTTCATGAGGGATCTCAGCTCCTAAAAGTCAGGGTAAGTAGAAAGCAAAAGGGTTGGGGCATGAGGGAAGACATGGATGTGAGCAGAGAAGTTATGATGACCCTTTTGAACTTCACAGGACCCAAATGCAGATCTGTTAGCCACCAAATCCCTTCAGCAGGGATGGAAAAAACCCCAAAATCTGCTTGCTGGGGAGTGGAAGGGCGTGGCTTCCATCTCTGGCCCTCGTGTCTTGGAGCAGCTCCAGTTGTGAGCAGTTGCTCTTTTGCTTGGAGTTTTGGTTCTTGCACAGGTGGGTGTCAGAGCAGGTCTGGTGTGGTGGTTCTGTCCCAGGAAGCTCCTCCAGGAGACTTGTCCATGAGCCCAGAGCCTTTGGTGCATCTCGAGTGGCCGTTTCCTGCAGGTCAGAGCGTTTGGGTCTCCTTCATGGATGTTCAGAGAGGTGCTGCATCAGTTCAGAAGAGGGAGAAGAGGAAAATAGGAGAGCCAGGTGTTGCTGAAGATGGGGAATTCAGGAATCTTCCTCAGTCTTGCCATAACACTTCACCTTCATCTCTTAGGCTTGAGGAGAGGAGTCCTTCAGGCCAGGAGAATCCCATATCTAGAGTTCTTTCAGCAACATCCTCCTGACTTCTCTGACATAGGACAAAAATTTTTTACCTGGGTTTCTTTTCATGGATCTCCCTTTCCTGTCATCTATCTCCAGTCACCACCCATCCCCTCCCAGGTTTGTGCAGACCCTGGTTGTGATGCTGGTCCAAGCATGCTGGTGCTTTCTTGGACCTTGTCCCCCGGGGGGCTGGCAGAGCTTCTGAACAGTGGTTGGAATCAGTTTGGATTCCCATTATTATTATTTTTGGCTTAGCTGAAAGCATTTTATCCAGGCTCATGTCATCTCGTGTCAGGCAGAACTTACTGTCCTCCTCCTCTGTGCAGCCAGGAGGAGAAGTCATCGTGATGTCCCCATCCCCTCTGCCACCAGCCTGCAATGAAGTGGCCACCATCCTTTCCTTCTTCTTGACGTGAGGGCCATGAAAACATGCTTCTGACCTGAAAAGAAGTCACATTTTTGGAGAGTTTGAGGTGGTGATGTTAGGAGGGGAGGGAAGAGGAAGTGGGTTTGGAGGTGGAACCGAGGGAAACGGGGAGAAAGTTTCTCAGCCCCTGCCAAGGGGAAACTGAGGCAGGGCTGGAGGCTGGTTCCCAGTAGAACTCTTTCTTCCCAGGGTTGCCCTCTCTTAGGTGACCATTTGAGTAGAGAGCTCACCTACAGACTCATGGAACAGTTTGGGTTGGAAGGGACCTTAAAGATCATCCAGCACCAACCCCCCTTGAGCCCTATCTGTGTAGAAACCCAATTCCTTTGGTTTCTCCAGGACCTTTCTCCTGGAGCCATACTCAAAGCACTCCCCATTTCTTTGTTTTTATGAATACAGACATGAACCTCTGCTCTTGCAGCAGAGATGGTCCCCGTGCCCCAGGAAGCTGGAGGTTCAGCCCCACTCTGCAGCTCTCTGAGCTCACTCCACTTCCAGATCATCACTGTAAAAGCTCCTTTTGCTTTTTATTTCCCCTCCTCCTCCTCTTCTTTTCCTTTCCCCCCAGTGTACGTCCTGTCGAGTTTGATTTATAGCCTTGAAAAGGAGACTCTAGGTTGAAGAATTAATGGTATTTGCATATTTGATTTGGAATCTCCCCCAGAGCCCGGGTGGGTTTTGCCTTTCCTTTTTTTTTTTTCTTTAATATATTTTTTTCTTTTCAGCTTTAGCAGCAGAGGTGAAAAGTTTAAACAGTAAAACCAATAAAACCACATTTATGTGACAGATAAATCGCTCCGAGACGGCTCGTCCTGAGCTCTGGGGCTTCCTCTTTGCAGGAGCTCTCTCCTACCCTGCGAGGGCTGGTGGTGACCAAGGTGCTGGCCCCGGCTCTCCTGGACCTGTCTCGCCAACAAGATGGATGGGGGCAAACAGTTGTAAGAGACACAGGCCATCTGTCACTGTCACGAGCCACCAGGGGAGCCAGGATCTCCCAGCGCTTAGGGAAGGTCCAATCCGGGCAGGGAGCAGCTTGAGGGTGGAGCTGGGTTAGGATCACAGGGTTGTTTAGCTTGGGAAAGACCTTCAAGAGTGTCAAGGCCAAATGTTGACCCAGCCCTGCCAGG